TGCCTGAATCTTGACATTCCTTCAACACTGTAAACAAACACTGCGGGATTCGAAGGTACGATCGGTGTGATAACTTCCTTTTTCGTCTATTGTAGGATATTTGATAATGCACTCCATTAGGGGAGCAAAGTTTTAGAGTTATGAATGGTAAGGTAAATAAGAAAATGTGTGACAGTCCTTCAACACTGTAAACAATCACGGTAAGCGAAGAGCTACATCAACACTTAGGTAGTTTTATACAAAAATACTCAGGATTTATCGTAGGATACTATACCAAAGACGGAATCTATCATTCAGAGCAAGAAGAGAGGAATATGATTGGTATGATCCTTTTGATATAAAATTTATGAAGTTTTATTGCCTTGCATTAGGACAGGAACGTTGGTATTAGAGATCCGTCAAAATCAAAAAGTAATTTGTTATTTGATATTCAGATATAGGACTGCATGAAAAGATGCAGTAAGATTTACACTTTACACTCAGAAAAGATCAGCAGACATCTGTTCACATATATTTAGAAATATAGAGTTTAGATTTATTCCATAATTCATGTTAAATTGCCAGGAAGGTCAACAAATTCAGTCTTGGCACAATATAGATGGTGAACTTGGCTGTATGATCACTAATTCATAGTGTTATTTGGTCTTACCTTTACTTACAGCACTTTATTTTTGATAATTGATAGTGTTGGTATAAATATTAATTTTGGATATTGGGGCCACACCCAGATAGGTAAGTTTGCTGTGATATCTCAGCTGCAGTTCTGGCCGCACCATTTGGATAAATTCTTTAGTCTCAGCTATGCCATTTAGTAATTGGAGGCTTAAACGCACAACCGTGAATTGGGAATTCCTTGAGTTGAAGCCAATGACTGGCTGATTGGACCAACGAAACCAGCAACTCTTACTCAGTCGCGGATTTTTGTATCAATCTGTACCTGTAACTGCGCAGTTTCTGCTTCTAAACTACAACTCCACCGTGCACTTTGCAAAGTTTCCAATCTAGGGCCACCCTAGTTTTTCTCCATATTTGTGCAGTCCCTTTTCAGATATTTACTTTAATTGTGTGTGGATTTGTAATTTGGTCAGTAAATTATAATGCAGTAATGGGGTTAAGGTTGGCTTTTTTATTATCCATAGCCTGAAGAGTCCCTGGTATAATTCATACCTTTACAAACTTTTGGAACTAGTAACATTAACACATTGTTACCAGGTACATATACTCTCCACTGTAGTTTTGTTTTGCGAATTTTGTTTACAAAGGGCTCAACAATTAGTAGGCTTAACTGACCTGACCTTATTTCGCATTCCTTGTAATTTTTGTGGATTTTTTTTTTTTTCATACTGCTACTATTTTTGTTGTTATTGTTATTATTATTGTTATTATTATTATTTTCATTATTATTATTATTGTTATTGTTTCATTATTATCATTATCATTGGCATGAATCATGAGATTATGATTATGATTATGATTATGATTATGATTATGATTATGATTATGATTATGATTATGATTATGATTATGATTATGATTATGATTATGATTATGATTATGATTATGATTATGATTATGTTGCTTGTCATATTTATTAATATTATCATTATATTATATTATTATTATTATTATTATTATTATTATATTATTATTATTATTATTATTATTATATTATTATTATTATTATTATTATTATTATTATTATTATTATTATTATTATTATTATTATTATTATTATTTTATTATTATATTATTGTTATATTGTTATTATTGTTATTGTTATTATTATTATTATTATTATTTATTATGTTGTTGTTGTTATTGTTATTATTGTTATTGTTAATGTTATTATTATTACTATCATCATCATATCATCCTCACCACTATCATCACCATCACTATCATCACCATCACTATCATCACCATCACTATCATCATCATCATATCATCACCTATCATCATCACTATCACCACCATTATATCATCATCATCATCATCATCATCATCATCATCATCATCATCATTCATCATCATATCATCATCATCATCATCATCATCATCATCATCATTCATCATCATCATCATCATCATCATTATTGTTATCATTATCATTATCATTATTATTATTATTATTATTATTATTATTATTTATTTATTTATTTATTTTTATTATTGTATTATTTATTATTGTTTATGATATTTATTATGTGATGTTATTAGAATTTATACTATTTTTAGTTTTATTGTTTTTATTTGTTTATATTATTATTATTATTATTATTATTATTATTATTATTATTATTATTATTATTATTATTATTATTATTATTATTATTATTATTATATTATTATATTATCATTATCATTATCGTTATCATTATCATTATCATTATCATTATCATTATCATTATCATTATCATTATCATTATCATTATATTATTATATTATATTATATTTATTATTATTATTATTATTATTATTATTATTATTTATTATTATTATTATTATTATTGTTATTGTTATTATTAATGATATTTTTTATTATAATTGTTATTATAATTAGTATCATATCTAAGATTATTGTTATTATCAAAATTATTATTGTTATTATCATAATGCTTATTGTTACTATCATTATTATCATTGTTATAATATTATAAAAAAAAAACTGAAAATCAAAGAAAAGGAGAAACAGTTGATATCAGGTAGGAATCGTAACCGAGCACTTGACGGCTATGCATTTGGGGAAATGGCAGGAAATTTGCAAGAAAGTCAGCGTCTGTGATAAAATAGTTCGTTATATATATGCTAATGCGAATTTAAGATTCTATATTTAAAAGTTTATGTTTTGTTTACCTCTGTCCCTAATAATTTCCATTGGAAATATATATTAACTTGCATTTCAGATTTCTAAGAACATCCAAGGACACTAACTCAGATTTATTATACGACCATGGCCCCTACAATTGTAAGTGTATGTTTGGTTAAAAATTTTGTTTGTGATAAGATATGTCATTTGAAAGTATATTATAGAAATGGAAATACATTTAAAAGAAACAAGATTTGATTTTGTTTTTATTCTTTTAAGATGTCAGATAGAATAATTTTAGGAAAACAGTCCACAAAATAATCAGGATACTAGATTTGCTATTATGATTTAAGTTTGTGTATAGAAAGATAGGTTTTATGCCAACATGCTATACTTTTAATTCAGAAAGCAGGCCTAGAGGTGAAGGAACGGAACAATGTTATTCTGTTTGACGAGTCCAAAGGAGAACTCTTCAGACTCAGTGATGGTTACAAGACTCTTCTTCGCAAACTCAAGACACAGTGGAAGGTCATCAGGTTAGTTCTAGAAGTTTGACAAGTGAAGATGATATTGATAAATAGGACTCATTAAGTATGTGTCTGACTCAAGTAATTCAGAGGAATTTCTGTACTATTATTTTTTCATTGAACATGAAGTTTTAGGTTTTAGAAGTGTAGGTGTTAGATTTTTTGAAATGCAAATTGAAAATCTTTGTAAGGTGAATATTTGAAAGCGGGTGCTCATTTCTCACAGATCGTCATTTGATTAATTCTCTTTTGATATTTGATATTCTTAAAGAGGATATCAGCAAGGTATCCCAAGCTAGCAAGAGTATATTTTTTATGAGATTATTTTACTTTTCAAAGCAACCGTGATGAACTGAACAAAGAAAGCGTTGGACAAGCTGGTGTGATTGTGTTGGCGTGTCCTCGACAGAGGTTCACAGAAGGACAATTTGCTATACTACGACGGCATGTGGATGAAGGAGGCAGCCTTTTTGTATTGGCTGAGGAGGGTGGAGAGAAAAAGGCCAATTCTAACATAAACTTCCTTTTGGAGGAGTATGGAATAGCTGTAAATAATGGTAAATACCTTCCAGCATACTATTAAAGTATTTTTTTATTAGTAATATTACATAACTATGTATCTACATTTACTGGCTAATGAGTCATAGATTTCTTGTATTTGAAATAATTGTTTTAAGGTAGTTGAAGCAGTTTTCTCTTTTAATTTTATGCAGTCTCATAACCATCTCTTTGCTACCATAGATATTAAGAAAAGCCTAAAATTAAGATTGTGTATTGGAAAGTATTAGAATAGAAAGACTTCAAAATGCAGATGATTAGCTACTGCTGTTTACTGATTCCAGTAAATCTTTGCAGACTCAGTAGTGCGTACTTGCTACTACAAATATTTCCATCCCAAGGAGTGCCTCATTACAAATGGCATATTAAACAGGGCCATCCTAGAAGCCTCCGGAAGGAATCTTCCTGGCTTGCTCTTGGATGATGCACTCACAAATAGGTATGCTATTTTTTTCATTGTCTCTTTCTTGCAGTGCGACTTCTTTTTTCTTTATCTGATATCTTTTCAGGGATTATTGTTTTTTTCTCCTTTTCAATAGAAGACTCTTATTTTCCTCATCTCTTTGGAATTTTATTTGTATTTCTAATCATTAATATTATTATTTTACAATGTTTAATCTTATTTTGAATGCCATATAGAGGGTTGTCTAGATAAAAAAAATAATTTACTTTCTCTGATATTTGTTGTGAAAATATATGTATGCATTTATGAATTAAATTGAGCTTCATAGATGTCTCCTAAGTCAAGCAAAATTCCTGTATTCATTTTGTTCTCTCATTTACTCAAAGGTAGGCATATTACAATCCACAAATGATATTCCTTACTGATCTCGCTGGGCACTGAGCAGTAGCATCCAGGATAAACACAGATCAGTTGCCATTTAGTGTATGTAAATAATATCTAATATACTCCAGAATTTCTTTTATTATGAAATCATATCAAGGTAATATTCCATTTGTGACCCAGTCTGAAGTCTGTTTCATACATTAGGTTAAGGTAGGTAGGTATAAAATAGTGCTTGTATCTCATGGTCATTTTTATTATCTAGTAGAACAAAAGTCAGAACATGAGACTCTAGACCAGAGGTGGGCAATTGATTTTTACAAGGGGCCACATGAGAAACCACACTAACAGTAACTTGAACTTAATTCTGCTCAACTTTCTTCCATTGTGAAATGCACTAAATTATATATTTAGTGCATTATATATTTAATAAATTATACAATTAATGAATATAAATATTTAATAAATTATATATTTAATAGATTATTTATTTAATAAATTATATGTATCTGTTTATTCATATACACATGCATATACAGAGAAATAATTACTTTATAAAACATAGTTGAACTTTAGATTTATATGAGAACTCCTGTTTTTCAGGTCCATGTCATTTGTGTATCCATTTGGATGTACCTTGAATGTTGCTCGACCAGCCGTTGCTGTACTTTCTACTGGGAGCATCTCATTTCCTCTTAACAGACCTGTAAATATCTATCTCTCTTGTAAAATATTATGCAGATACATAGAACTCTTAATTTTCTAGAAAGAAATGTTGTACTTGAAAGAGAGAGATCATCTATTAACATACTTTTGCACATTTTTAAGGTGTGTGCCTTCTACGAACAACCCTCCAGCCATGGACGTGTGGCAGTGTTAGGCTCTGCCCACATGTTCAATGATCAGTACATAGATCGTGAAGAGAACAGCAAGATAAAGGATGTTATTTTCCAGTTCCTCACAGCTGCTGATTTCAAGCTTAATCAGATCGATGCAGATGATCCTGAGGTATAAAGCATGATGTGCAAATATTATTATTTGCCATTTGTAGAGTTTGATGCAGTGACTTGAACCAGTAATGGAGATGTGCAGTGTATATTTATTTTTGTGATGTACTTCTTATTTTTTATTATTTTTTCCCCATCTTTCAGATATCTGATTACAACATGACACCTGACACAGCTTCCTTGGCTGATGGTTTAAGGACATGTCTTCAGGAGTCTGAGGAAGTACCAACAGACTACACACAACTCTTTCATACGAAGGCAAGTCTTTGAGTTCTCATTTCATATATTTGATGTAGGCAAAGGCAACCATTTTACCCTCTGGATGTAACCTACAAGTACTTACATATGTCTCTATTTTAAGTTTGAAAATAGCATACAAATTGAGATTAAGTAGTAAATTGACATCTTGTCAAATAACACAGTAGCTCCTACTTATTAATTATAAGTGATTTGCCAAAATTATCATACGCATTTTAATGCATTTCCTATAAAGTTATAGGTACAGTCAATAGGGTTATTTATAACTTTTTCATTTAATAATTCACACAAGATAATTTTTCTAGAAATTGTTGTGATTATGTGGACAAGACTTGTTATATAGTCAGTAAAAATGTCTCAAGTCTATAAATGTATAGAATTATGTAAAATACATATGATTTTTTCTGCCTCTATGGCAAGAAATACTAGTAATTTATATGAGTAAAATAATGACATGTTTTCTACCTTAAGAAAGTGTGAATTTTGATTCAGATTATAAATAAAAATGGAAACTGAAACTGCTTAGTTGACAGTTTTGTTTTTTTATTTTTTTCTGTCATCAAGGGAAATCATAAATGAGAGGTTTAAATTAGGTTTTCAAGGCATAGATTTCTTCCTTCTTTTTTTAATCAGGTTTCAGGCACCTTTTTAGCATGAAGTTAGCTGATTCTTCTCTGTGGGTTATTTATGCTTTGAAAAACACAATCATTTCAAGGGAGTAAAGCCAGCCTAACAAGTTACTCTTAATTTTTCTAACAGTTGACATCAATAGACATGCAACTTGTGCCTGCTGCTATTGAGGCTTATAGCAAGCTAAATGTGAAACATGAGCCACTTCGCCTGATAACTCCACAATTTGAGACGCCTTTGCCACCGCTACAGCCTGCAGTAAGTTTCTGTTCTTTTTATAGTCTCACTAATGAAGTATTCAGTCAAGTGATGTTTTTTATGCGCAATTTGATAATTTGTGATAGACATTATTATTTTTTTTCTTTTTCTCATCTCTATAGGTGTTTCCTCCTTCATTTCGAGAATTGCCACACCCATCTCTAGAGTTGTATGACTTAGACGAGGCATTCAGTTCTGAGAAGTCTAGACTGGCGCAGGTGTGTATAGTTCTGATGAATGTAAATGGTGGACAAATACAAATTTCTGTATTTCACAAACTATGTTATTGCCTTGATTGTTTTGTATATAATTTTCTCAAAGTATGAGATACTCATTCAGTACAGCTGATAAATCTTTACCATAGAAAAATGCTTTGATAAACTCCAGTAATTCAACAAATTTGCATACTCTTATTACAGGTTACCAACAAATGTAAAGATGAGGACTTGGAGTATTATGTGAGGGAGTGTGGAGATATCCTGGGAGTTACCTCAAAGCTGCCACCGACATCCAGGGAGGCTAAGTACATTCTTGAATACATCTTTACTCAGATCGTAGAATTCAAGAAGCTGAATCAGGTAAGTTAAGGTTCCTGTCCCATTTTGCAGTAATTATGAAAGTTCTCTTTTGATTATGGAATCCTATACAAAATAGATTTAAAGCATTTGCTATGTAAACTTTTGTATACTGGTAACAAAAATTCATTAACTTTTTTTGGAAAGTGTGTCTAAATTTTCAACTGTATTTATTCTGTATGCTACATGTTTTATATATTTTAAATCCCTAAACTTCAACTTCATAAGAACATAGCCATATAATTTACTACATAATCTGCTCTTTCAAACATAATAAAATGAAGGAAATTAATTAGCTTTCCATTTTTTACAGGATCCAGAAGCATTTATGAACATGGATTGAGGACCTATGATGAAGCATTGTACCTCAGCCTTGATTGCCATAGTGACATGTGATATGTATGAGTAGTCACATTAGATCTTTTGAAGTGAATCTCCATTTGATTCCATTAGTTTTCTCACACCACAAGTCTTATTAACTGAATACTTCTTTTATTGTGTACACCTTGTGTGAACAGAACTTTTATCCCACAAAATAGTGCTTATATAGTTTAATATTGCAAATCTTAATATGGAGTTGTGATTATCAGGTACAATAATAAAGTCATATGGGAGACCCAAGCAAAGTTTTCAGCCCAGGGCATGCAAATACAAAAAAAATGCAATATCTAAAGTATGAAAACCAGTACTGTAGGAACATTAGAAATATAATGGAAATTCAACTAAGTACATGAATCATGGGAATCAATGTTATTTTTCAGTCAGCCTCAGGATTATTCTGAAAAGAATTGTGCCTGTTCTGAATATATTTTTTAGCCCAGTGCTGCTGGGAAAATGTGTTCACTGTAGAATTGTTTTGTGAAATGTCTTAATACATATATGGCTCCACTAGTGGATAGCTACCAAGTAGTCAATTGGTCGACCTTGTGACCTTACCAGATTTCACCTGTACGTGTTTTCTGGGAAAATGTTTTTTTTTTATGTTAATGGTATCAATAGTGATGCTGTTATTATTATTAGACATTATAATTATTATACTGTTACAGACATCACTAATAACAATACAAGAAAAAAGAAAATATTTCCAAATTTTAAGGAAAAGGGTAAACAAGTGAGATAGGTTGTACATGTTGACTTTAAAAAATCTGGCCATCAATAATCCAGTTCCTTCTGATTTCCACCATTGATTTCGAAGCACATTTTCAAATTTAGTGTTGGGGTGCCTCTGTTTTCTGGAATCACTGTTTATGTTTTGGTGGCGATATACTCCTGGATGAGCAGTTGGGTCTTGTTTGCACGTGCTAACAGGCATTCCTGCTCATGCCTTCTCATTTTATCATTTCTTTACTGTTGTATAGCCCCATGATGAATTCAGCAAAGAAAAGAGGTGGTGTAACACGTAAACATTGTGTGTTGATTGCAGAGAAATTGGAAATGCTAAGAAAAGCTTGATAGCAGCATGTCTGCGCAAACCATTAATGAAACTTATGATATTTGTGAAACATATCACTTATGTTTTTCATTGTGTTTAATTTTCTTTTGATACAGGACTGTGCACATAGTAATCTTCTGTTACATAAAGGCAGCATATATAACCATATAAAATCCGCCATTCTAAAAATTGGTTTATGGCTAAGTATTTTGGCGCCATCTATGTGGAAAGACAGTAAATGAATTAAATTCACAGTGAGCATAGCATATGTATACATCCCATCCCTACGGCATTATGCTAAGTATTTCATTGAGGGTTTCCATAACAGTCCAGGGCCAGTATCACGTGCCTTAGAAGAAGCACAACCATTGTGGGAGTTTTAATATTTATTCAGGCGTATAATTTTTGGGTTAAATTTAAAAATGAAATTGAAGAATGTTTAAAGATATATAGTTTTGTCAGCAAGGTCCTTTTTTTAAAGATTATATATACAGAAATAAAATGAGGATAAGTACCATTTTGTCATGACAAAATCAGTTTCTTCTACCAAAATTATTCAGACTTTGGAGAACATAATAAAGAGTTTCTTCTTTGCTCCATAATAATGTTCTTTTGATACTTATGGCACCGCCTGGTTTTCATAATGGAAGGCAATACTTTTGTTGTTCTGCCAATGTGTTTTTAGAGGCAATATTTTTGTTGGGAGTAAAATTAAGTCATTTTCACAAACTTTGGGAAACTACTTTGTAAGTCTACAAAATACTATTCATTCTGTATATAGATGCACAAACCACCATATTTTTAAAGACACATGCATATATTTATGAGAGAGAGAGAGAGAGAGAGAGAGAGAGAGAGAGAGAGAGAGAGAGAGAAGAGAGAGAGAGAGAGAGAGAGAGAGAGAGAGAGAGAGAGAGAAGAGAGAGAGAGAGAGAGAGAGAGAGAGAGAGAGAGAGGAGAGAGAGAGAGAGAGAGAGAGAGAGAGAGAGAGAGAAGAGAGAGAAGAGAGAGAGGAGAGAGAGAGAGAGAGAGAGAGAGAGAGAGAGAGAGAGAATTTTCACATGAAAGAATGATATTACTTATAAATATCAATTTATAAATTTCTAAAGAATATGTTTTTTATAAATGATGTTCATTAATTTGAGTGATACATGGTGATTTGGAAAAAAAAATGCATATGTAGGACTGTGAGGGCATGCACAAGAAATTTGCCTTATATTAAGACCTATAACTGATATGTGATAGTTTGACTATCAGTCCTCCCTTCACCGACCTCCTAATTTATCAGACATCCTTACAGAATCCCACACTTTCTGCTTTGACAACCTGTTCTTCATCAGATGCATACATATCCTTCACTTGATCTAATCCCCGTACCCCCCCCCCCCATCCCCACCGTAACCCATTCACTCACCAACTCCTTTACCTATCTTTAACCTTTTCAATATTTCTCTAGATAGTTGACATAGAACAACTAACTACTAACTCAACCCCCCTTCACTACCCTTTACTGTACAGTCCTATGAGTGCTACATGACCTTAAATGTCTTGCAGTTATTTTGCTTTTAACTATTAACCATCAATTAGCAAGAGTATCAGATGTCAAGGCTGTACAATTTTTGTTAGATCTTAAAGTCTCCCCCCCCCCCCCAAAAAAAAAAAAAAAAAAAAAAATCATCATTATCATCAAGATCAAGACAAAGAATCGTCCATGTATTCATGGCAGGGCAGAGCATACAGCTGACATGGTGGTTAATGGTTAATGGTTGAAACAACTATCTGTGCTAGACACCAAAGGTCATAAAGACTGGTAAAGTACTGTGGCAAAAAGGGTAAAAGAAGAGTTGAAGATTAGGATAAAGTGTTAGATGTCAAAGATTAGAGAGCATTATAGGATGGTACTGTATCAGATTTTGAAAATGGAAAATGATTTTTAAAAATTTACATTTTTAATGCATCCCCATTTTTCATTGTTATGTGCAATAATTCTGGAACTAAATTGTATTTCCAAAATTGAATATGTAGTTCAACTTCTAATGACTTGTTCTCATTAAAATTATAATAGAGAAAACAAATATCTTTTGTACTTGAGATTGTTTGAATGAACCCATAAAAGAAAGAAAAAGAAATATGACAGCAGTTCCCTGCAGTCAAATTTGGAAATAAGACTAAAAGATGTTGGGTAAAGTACTCTTCAACCTTGTCAAAATTTATCCCAAACTTTATTTTTTTGGATGGTCCCTTTAAATCTGATTTTTACAAGTGCATTATCTCGCATTTTTTTTAAAAATCCAAATAAGGCAGATGAATTTTTTTGTTTGAAAGGAAGTAATACAATAATTAACTGCTTGATACTAAATAATTAATCTGATCAGGAAAAAGCAAGAAAATGTGGTAATAATAATTCAATAATAGAAAAAGTATCAGTAAAATGCAAAACATTTCCTTAGTGTATATGTGAAATAAAGTACTTTAAGTTGAAAACAGATGGATTTATACTATAGGTTTACTTCATAAAGCTATGTATTATTTTGTTTATATAAGTACATCTAGTTTGATTTTAATTGTAATATTATCAGAATAAGTAATAGTCTTTTAATAGTGCATTAGTAAAATTTTTGTTCATATGTAAATAGGGCAATTACCTTATAATTAATCCTGTCTGTGGGGGCATGCATGTACATGTCATGGCTGTTCCTGGACAAAGTTATTGGTGGCATCACAGTACTACCATTCCCATGCCATCAACTCATCAGACGGAGTTTGAAAGATGGAATAATGCACTGGCCGCATTTGATATTATGAATTATCAGTGGATAGAGTGCCTGTCTTGTGAATTCTTTTCAATGGCGGTGGGGGTTCGAATCCCTGTCAGAGAGGTTATAAATTCAGATGGAGTTTGTTTTACTCTGATAGTTGCGGCATAATTTCTATGGGAAACCTTTTAAGCAATAGCACCCGAGGTGAAGGTAATCCTTTAAAATATTTACATCTTTAAGAATTATTTCAAAATAAAGGGATTTAGGTGCCTAATGTTGCTCTCAAACTGCCGAACGAGTCTGGTGAAAACGAGAAACTGTTGTTACTCGCCAACAACCATGTGATCATGTCCATTTGCCAAACTTTTTTACAAGCTGATATTGGGTTAAACGTAATACCCAGACAGTAGGGAGATTGATAAAGATGATGCCCAGTTCCAAGCATTTTTTTTTTTTTTATATGTCAAGGTTTTACCTATTTATGATGCACTAATCTAATTGTGTTGGAAGCCCCATGCTATACAGAACAACTCATTTGGATGAATGCTGAGTCTGCTGCTCCAGGGTAAAATCAGAAACATGTTAAACATAGACATAAACATACCCCACTCTGTACTCTTCACTGCAACATTTTTTTTTTTTTTTAAGTAAAAGAGGCCTAAAAGAGTTTTTAAGTTTCTTTTATAAAGCCATTTCTCCACTGTGAATGCTGCCAGGGTAGAAAAGAATGTACGACTCTTTAATGTGCACAACTTACAGCAGGACTGACCTAGCTTCAAGATGTCATCCCAATGTATGGATGTGTATGGGTAAATCCATAACATACTGAACAGTAATTATATTAAAAAAGTTGAAAATAGTACTTTAGAGCATTGTCTCAAATCACTTCATCCTACATGTTTTTTTCTATTATATGTATAATAAATGTATTTTTACTTTATTGTAAACATCAAGTTTGAACTGGAATATAATCTGAGATATGGAAAAAATATATTTTCATTTGATATATATATCTATATACATATATTTTTATTTATTTATTTATTTATTTTTACTGATAATTTGGAACAGATAATGCTAGCTCTGTGTATGTGCATGCATGTGTGTGCACTACATATATACCTGTACAGGATATATGTTACCAACTGAATGCATGGGTATGTGTATGATGCAAGTGAATTATCCTATTCTTTCTTAATACAAGTATTATTATTCACTAGCTCCATTACTTATATCACCAGATATGATAGGTGATGTACTTCATGTCACTGGGATATTAAATAAATTCCTGAAAGGTTCAGTGTTATGTAGGGTATATTGTATATACTTTGTTTTACAAAGTCTAAATACATTGCCTTTTTTCATATTTTTTTCTTCAAATTCTTCATTTTTTTCGTAACAGGAAAATGCATTTAAAATGTAATTCTAGGATGGTTAACTTCTTTTTTATGTAATATTTTAACTGTAAAAGGTTGATGTATCAAAGTGCAATAATGAGTGTATACTAGTGTGCATGTAAAATTGGAATGTACAGTATATTAAAATAAATATGTATGAAATCATGTATAATAAAAAAAATATCACATCATTCTTCTTTCTATTTGCCATGATACATACAGCTTACAAAGAGTCAAGTTTATATAATGTCATGTTCAAGACTACAATAAGGCATACTCATGTTATTAGACATTTTGAATACAATCAATATCAATGAGGAAAACATATGTAAAAATATATTTGTCTTTATTGATATGAATCTCATTTTCATTACAATTTATCAAAAGTCACCAACACAAAAGAATAAAATAGCCCTACAAAGGAATTATCCATGCGAGTATGCAGGGGTAGACTAGCACATTATTTACATTAGAAATAGAAAAAGACTATTTTTGACCAAACTGAATCATAGAATGGTTCAGTCAAGTTATGGTATTTTTTGAAAGGCATACTAAAAAATTATGACTGGAATATGTTTAATAATTATTCTATCCAACCTTTACAAATTAGATTAAACTTTCATATATATCATATACACTGTTTATTTACAAATATCAAGAGGTAATTAGCTAATAATTTATGTTCCTTTGATTTTTGTTTACACAATTCAAAAATAAACTTCCTTGCTACTTTTTCAATACAATTTATTTTCCTTATCTCCGTTGGACAGCTTGGAAATTCTGAAGTTTAAAATTTGTTATTGTCCATTCTGGAAGCTTGCCTTCTGTGTATTCGCGATGGAATCTGCAATCACAAGTTTTTTTTAAAAATTGGGTTCAATACTGGAATTTATTTGAATATTTTTTAGAATTTTAACTCAGATAATTTCTTATGCTCTTCTTGTTTGCTGTACTTTCTGTACATATTTTCTTAAGTGCATTTAAAGGGTGATTTAAGCCAAAGAAAACATGCCTGAAAGTACAATCAACGATTGGTAGTGCTAAAACAAAAACTTTCTTTCTGCTTTTATTCTTATTTCCAGTGACAAAATGCATATATATTAAGTAAAGGCATGTAGAGGAAGATTAAAAATAATACTATAAAAGAAAGAAGAGGAAGAAAGAAAGAAAGAAAAAAATATGACGCAGAGGTGCAAAACACCTCATATCTTTTCCTAGAATCTACATGTCTCTAATCATTTCATCCATACAATAACTATAGAATTAGCTTGGTAAATACAAAGTACATAAAGGCTTACATTCGTTGTATAGAATCTATGCAATATATAGATAAATATATTTAAAATTTCAGAATACCTTAACATAATCAATCAAAATGATTTTGGTATCAATGGATTCCTCTCACTCTACTATCCAAATATAATGAAGAAACCCCACCTCATTAGCGAAAATCTTGGCCCCAATAACAGGGGATGGCATGAGAGATACAAGGGAAATAGCAGAGTAAAATATGAATGATATACACAGAAACGGTCATTATATAGCCTAATGAAGGGGGCTGTGCCAATGGAAGACAAATCATCCACGTATTCATGGCAGGGTAGAGCTTACGACTCAAATGGTGGTTAATGGTAAAAAGTTAAAGCAAAAAAATATGATAGACACCAAGTCATATAGAACTGGTAAAGTATTCAAATATATCAAAGACCCCCTCTCCCCATTAGCAACAATCTTGGCCCCAATAACAAGGGAGGGCATAAGAAGTACTAAGGATATTGCAGGGTGAAAATATACAATCAGTCACTATATAGCCTAATGGCAACCCCCACAATAAAAGACAAAGAATCATCCACGTATTCATGGCAGGGTAGAGCGTACAGCTGACGTGGTGGTTAATGGTTGACAAAAATATATGTGCTAGACACCAAGTCATATAGACTGGTAAAGTACTGTGGCAAAAAGGGTAAAGAGTTGAAGATTAGAATAACATGTGTTAGATTTCAAAGATTGGAGACCGTTATAGGATAGTATTGTAGTGAAAAAGGAAAAGAAGGGAGGAAATGAAGTAGAGCAGAGATTAGTAGAAGGTGAGGGGGGATATATATATATATATATATATATATATAACAAATCATAATAGGAAAAAATTATCACACTGATTTTCTTTCAATTTGATA